TAAACGCCGCTTACTCCGCGGAGCTCGAATATCGAATATCCAACTTGAAACTAACTTCACTGCGGTCTTTTATTAAAGTCCTGAATGTGTTTTTGTTATCGGATTAAACTGGAAGGAACCGGTTTATTCTGAACTGTGAACAGAAACGGAAACAAACCGGATTGTTTGAATCTTTTCTTTGTACCAGTGTTGTGTTGTTTTTTTTACTCTGAATGCCCAGATTTAATAATTTAGCTTTTATTCACATTAAAGTACCCATCTTTACTTTAAAAAACAAATATTTACAATCAACTGAGACAAACAAAAGTTTAAAAATAAGTCAGCAGATGTTCCAGAACTACTGTCAGCTTTTGACATTTTCACAAGAAAAATACAACAGTAATTATACTGTAAACTGCATGGTAATGTGCTTTATGCATTGCTTTGAGCAAATAAAAGCAAATTAAATGTAAACATGTTGTTCTTTTTTTATAACTACTCCTTCATATTTACATTGATGCAATTTGTTAATTGATTTGCACCTAATTAAATAAATACATTATAAGTGTAAAACACAGTGGCAAATTGTCCAGATCTTCAGTGAAACCTTAAAAGTGCAATCATCGTGGGAAGACAGCGGGTCTACATGGCATCCTTAGGCAGCAGCCCATTGTCTCTCAGAACGCCGTTGACGGCAGAAACCAGGCGGCCGCTGTATTTCAGCAGCCGGCCGTCGTAAATCAGCTGCTCCGGCTTCAGCTCCGTTTGTCTCCGAGGCCTGCAGCACAAAATACAATCTGTTACTGCTTTGCTGCCCCGACTCTGCAGGACAAAATGCAAACGGGTACCGCCTTTATGCTCTCTGATTTAATAACAGCTTCTTCTGCTGCATTACAAAGGAATTTATTCAAAACAGAGATTTTTTTATGGATTATTTTAAAAAAACGGATTTAAATTTTTACCCAATTTTAGTCCGATTTTCACCGGAGGACTGCATTTCCCAGGGTCCTTAAGATGTTTGCTAACCGCCATAAAAAACAATGAAGAAGAAGATCTAAGACGACATCAGCTTACTTGACGTGGTACATCCGGGCTATCCGCCTGTCGGTCCAGGCGCAGCCGCCCTGCGACCGCAGCACTCCGTGGACGGTCACGCTGTACACGGACCGCGGGTTGGTGATGATCTTGTAGTTGTTGAAGACCGGTTTCTGTGGGGCGGGTTCGATGTAGACGTGGTTCAGGATGTTCACCCCGGATACGTTCTGCCAGCGGTCCAGCTGGGGCAGCGTTTGGGGCGCCGGAGGAGTCAGGGCAAACTCACTGGGGACCCAGTTGTTCTCAAACTTGTAACACTTGTTGACGCCATATTTTCTCTCCAGGAGCGGCAACAGCTCCACCCAACTGGGAGGAAACGGTAGAAAAACAAGAAGAAACGTCATCAATTAAAGTTACATTTATCAGAGGTGGCAGAGTAGAAAAAACTAGTCAACAGAGCTGGGTAGTAACTAGTTACATTTACTCAGTTACATTTACTTGAGTAACAGTTTTTAAAAAAACATTACTTTTAGGAGCATTTTTACTACTACTTTTTACTTGAGTAGTTTTATTATGAAGTGTTTCTACTCGAGTAAAATTTCTGGATTTTCTACCCATTGAATGAAGAACAAACATGTTTAACCAGAAATTCACCAGACAGACACACACCTGCAGTTTCTGTTAAAGTTTAATTAGTTTTCTGATGATTTGGACACATTTTCTTTTGCCTGATTTTATTTTTTGTTACTTATATGAATTATTGTCATTTTCATCTTTAAAATACCTAAATTTCCTGTGAACTTTATATTTTGACGATATTTTAAATATTAAATGATTTATATGTTGATCATTTAGTACTTTTTACCAAATGCTTTTTTACCCTTATTTGAGTAATTTCTTGCTACTTTTTACTTTTATTTGAGTAAAGTACGTTGAAGTAGTGGTACTCTTACTTCAGTATAGTTTTTAGTTACTCTACCCACCTCTCTGTGTGAATTTTGTCAAGTTTTGTCTGAGTCCGCCCTTCACAGAGGGGTGCAGTGCAAGTATTCGGACCGGGTCCATGAAACCGAACCTTTGCTCACTGATCGTCTCGTTTAGCTACCAGCTCTGTTCCTCTGTCTCTGCTCTTCGGCCTCCTTTCAGTGTCGGATTGTTTTCAACAGGATCTCACCTGTTGACCGTCTGCGGCAGGATGAACTCGTCCGGGTCGTGCAGCGCCACGTATTTGGACCGGTACATGGACCTGTACAGGCAGTCGTTGAGCGCCGGGATCTGACCGAAGTAGTGGATGTCACCAGGATCCTGATCAGGTTTAGCGCGACGAGAAACCTTCAGATACTCCGACAGAGACCAAGGAACCACCTCCACTAGACCTGGAGACGGACAGGAAGGTGGACGGTTTGGTATTTTGACTGAATTTATTCTATTAAATCTACTTCTGATGTGTTTGCAGCAGGGGGTCCAAACTTTTTGCCACGTGGGCCAAAACTGTGGACTCAAAAAAAGTCATGTAACCAAAAAAAAATCAACGTAAACTTAAGCAAATAAAGGATGCTGATTTGTATTGCAGATCCAAAACCTGAAAGGGATTTTTACGACGGTGTGTTAAGGCCATCAAACATAGAAAAAGTGGAATAAATTCCTGCCAAAAATTCAGAAATGTGATTAATCTCAGAAATTCAGGATTTCCAAGTTTTTCTTTAGAAAAACTGAAAATGAGATTTTTTTTTCTAACAAATGTTTGTGGTCCCTCAATTTCTGAGGTTTTTTTTTTTTTTGGCAGAAATTTACTACAATGTTTCTACTCTATTTGTCAAGAAAATAAGTTTAACAAAACCACCTGCTGTGGCCTAAAATGATTCAAATGACTGGTTTCCCTCACATTTTAACCGCATCTAAATGTTTTGTCGTTTTAAACTACTGGTTGACTGATGTTGGAGTTATTATGGGATGTTAATAAGGACTGACAGATGCGGGTCAGCCTGCTGGACCTTTGTCGGAGTAGTAGTCCAGAACGCGCTGCGTTTCTGCGCTGCAGTTCGTCTTGTAGACAACGACTCTGTTCACGCCCAAGAACTGCAGCATCTCCAGACTCTGCACCAGCTGCAGCACAAAACATGTACTGGTGTCAAAACCCTCATTTCCAAACAAATTCACATTCAAATTACATAAAAATGTAAACGGAGTGAATAAAACTCTGACAGAAATAACTGTTATTTCCCTAAAACAGATCTGAGTGTTGGAGTGAAATGAAATCCAATCAGAACTGGTTTGAAAACGGTTTGAAAAATAAAATACGATTACACTTCCTAGTTCTCATTTTTAAAACTTGTTAAAAATAAAGTCTTTTCAAACGTCTTTGTTGACATATTTTAGTCGAATAAAAATGGAGGAAATTTATATATGAAACAATCTGATGAAATCTGAAATGACTACAAATGACAAAAAAAAATTTTTGTTTTGACAAATTAAATTTAAACAAATTTATTATGTTAAAAAAACTAAATACATTTATTTAACAACAAATTAACAAATAATTTGTTAAATAAATTATTTTATTTTATGAACATTTTAGTCAAATAAATATTAACATTGTTCATGATTTAAAAAAAATAATTACGATTAATGAAGAGTTTTAGAAGAATAAAATGTTAGTTTGGTTTCTGAAGCAGATTTGTCTCTGAAAACGGCTGACGACCTTTGACCCCTTGCTGGCCGGTACCTGCAGCACGTTGGTGTAGTTGTACATGGTGGAGAAACAGCTGGTGAAGGTGTAGGGGAAGCTGGTGAGCGCTCGCTGGTTCCACACCTCCAGGTACTCCATGTCGGACTGATCTGCTTCACATGAGCAGAAAACACGCCAACAACTCGGTTTTACATCAGAAACCAGCTGATTTTTATTTCTTCCAACAAACCCTTCAGATTTAGATCAATCCTGTTGTAAGATGGTGTTATTAGTGCAGTGCGGCTCTTTAATGTACATCTAAACATGAAAGTATCGATTTTATTTCCATCTCAGAAATAATCCTGTTTTTTAAGCCAATTTTATTTATAAACTGAATACAAGACTAAAATAAAAGCCAAATTGATTAAAAGTAGAAATAAAATACTTCAAAACAAAGGGGAAAATGCAATTAAAAGAAAACAGACATGAAGAAAATCCTGATAACATGAACAACTTGAATTTGTTAAGATATTAAATCTCAGCTGATGTTTGATGAGTAAAAGAAAAACTCAGCAGTACCTCTTGTTTTGTTTTTATTTGCTTGGTGTGAAAAGTTTAAAGCCTGAGGCTGGAGAAATGAACCTGGTGAGGGCGGAGCCACTTACTGGGAAACCAGTTTGGTGAGTCAAAGCATCAGGATATTTTAATCTAATGTCACCATGGCATGTCTGAATAGGTCATGCAAGTTGTGGTTTTAAACACATAATTCCCAGAATTCAGTTTTATCTCGGCTCAGGGAAAAGAAAGCTGGCATCTGTGCAGACCCCACACATCCTGGACACAGATAGTTCAACATTTCCCACCACAGAGTGATGTTTTCTAAAAGCAGCTGCAACAGGAAGAGTTTCTGCCCCCTGGATGTTTCTCTGATAAACACAATGAACTCCTGACAGCCGAGTATTCAGACACTCTGGGAAACAAAACAAGTCCTCTAAACTTTATATATTTGTATTAATGTCTAAACGCTGTGAGCATCTGAAACCAAAGTCACATTTCAGCAAACGATGTCGGCCAGTAAAGCTGACAAAAAATAAACAGGACCTGTTACAAAACCAAACGGTATTTACTGATCTTAACTGCATTACTGTCATTGTAGTATCTTTTCTGTAAATTCAACTTAACTTGTTTCAGTGTGAAAAACGTCACATAGTGAAGGTTAAAATAACGTCACACCTCTGGTACATTCGAGACTGCAGCTTTGATAGCAGGGCAAACTGTAAACTCAGTGTCGCTCTGTGTCGAAACTCCCATTTCGCTTTGGGAGTTAAATAAAGAAACGCCCAGTTGGAACCAAGTCAGCAAAGTTTTCCCGACTGCTGAGTTTTGAAAGCTCTTAGGTTTCTGGCACAAACTCAGACACTCCAGATGGCTAGCCAGCCAGTTAGCATGTAGCTTCTACTTCATACCCAAATATTCATTATTTACAGGTTTTCTCCATCAGTGACCAATAAATAAATAATTTTGACATTTGGAGGCAAAAGATAAAAATAAAATACACCTGTCTGCTAGTTTGGCTAACTCAAAGGTTTTCACAAACACTAATTATGTTGATGTTATTTATTCAAATTCAATTCAAAATACTTTACTAATCCTAAAGGAAAATTAAATATGAATATATATTAATGTTTCTTTGCAAGATTACATAGTTTGGTATTTGTCTGATACCAAGTACATACAGGGCCAATATCAACAATACCAATATTAATTATTTAAGTATAATATAGCACCAAACTTCTGACCTTTAGGGGGCTTTGTGTTTTTTGCCTTTTACTTATTTAGCTAAACCCTTGAAAAGTAATTAAAAATATGTAATTACTCAAATTTATTCAGCCTTAAATTAAGTTTTGATTAAAGTTTGTTGTTATTTTTTAGTGTGATAAGAGGCGCAGCTCTCATTTTCATTAATGTGGCAAAAATAAATGAACTCCAGGCTCCATTCAGCTGCCAGAAAGCAATATGAAAATATAAAAATACAAAAATATAAAAGTACAAAAATATAAAAATATAAAGGTGCAAAATAAAAATACAAAAATAGAATTTTTTTGAGGGAATCTGAAATTAAAGTATGGATATTTCGGATCGATCAGCTCACCTCTTCTTACGTCTTTACAGATTCTAACATGGTTTTAATGAACATTTTTGATAATTGCTGAGTCAGTTTGTATTCCATTAAATTAAGATGAGGCTTAGGATTAATTTTTCAAACAGGAAAGTTGTGGTAAACAAATTATTTTGTTCTGGGTCATGTTTTCTCTGTCCTGCTTTTTCCCCCTTGTTTTTAAAAACCTGTTTGAAATGAATGAATAAATAAAATAAAATGTTTGAACACCAGAGCAAAAGTTTAGCTCTTTGGTTAATTATGTTTCACTTTCCACATGCACATATTTTCACTTAGAAACCAATAGTTGGTCTTTTACCAGTGAATTTAACTTCCTAAATGTCACGTAAACAGACTTTTATCACATGTTTTCGCCGTGTCTGAGTTGGTTAACAGAAAACCCCGTGCAGCGCTGCGGTACCTGGGTTCCTGATGGCCGCTGAGGTGACGGCTACGTGGGTCGGCGCCTGGCAGGCCGGCGGCAGCGGGCAGGAGACGTCGGCCATCCCGTACGGAAAGCCGAAGTGATCCCAGTGGATGTCGACGGAGGCTCTGGAGACGTGAAGCTGCTCCCTGCAGCGCAGGCTGCACTGCAGAGACACTTTCTCTTTACGGAACATGATGGCGATAACAAGAACCTGACAGAAAGAGGTTTACGGTCAATTTACCAAATAATTCGGGCATCTGCAACGAGACTCGCTACCTAAAAGTCCAGCTTGATTGAGGAAGTTTTAGCTCCTCAAATGTTACAAAAACGTTTAAACATTTTGTCTGACATTATCTGTAACCATGACTACGGTTTATTTAGTAGAAGATAAATCGTTGGCTAGTTTAACAGTCAGGTTGTGGCTTCACTGCAAAAAAATCTTACCGAGTTTTTTTGTTTAGTTTACAGTGCAAGCAACTCAGTTCACTAAATAAGACAAAACTAACTGAAAAATAACTTCAACAACAAATTCCAGTTAGGAGCAACAGCGAGGAAAAATATTTTAATAAACGTTAAAATACACAGACTGCACTGCAAAAACATACATTTTTACTATGTAACTTTTGTTTAGTTTCTAGTGCAAATATCTTAGTTTACTAACTTAAAAATAACTTTTCAGGAAGAAATATGAGCTTGATTTAAGTTAATAATTCCTTAATATTGATTGATATTGGCAGATTATTTCACTTATAATATTTTCTCCGTGTTTCTAGTGAAATAATCTGCCATTGGAACCAGAAGCTTTTCATCAATATTAATAAATTATTGACTGAAAAAAAGCTCCTGTTTATTGAGAAGTTGGTTTTCCATATTAGGGTAGAAATCGGACCAGAACTTCTGGATCAGATTCAGTGTTTTGTGGTTGTGACGGCGGTTCAGTTTGGATGCCTCAGTGACTCTAAACCAGCAAACCTTTTTTGTTCTGGTCCGATGCTCCAGATAGGCGGATATCAGCAGAGTTCTGGAGCCGTTCACTCTGACCAGAGAGGCCGGTTGTCCTCTGAGAACTGCAAGAGTCAAAAAACAAACTGAGAAACATCAGAACAGAAACGTCTAAATGAACCAAAACAGCGAAGAACCCAGGAGGAGCGGTTCCAACTGGAGGTGACCGGACCCACATGCAGACCAGAGGGGCAGCAGGGCCGGTCCAAGCCCGTTTGGGGCCCGAAGCAGATTTTCATTTGGGTTCTGAACTGAAGATTTCATTATTATGGTTAGGCCTGTCACAATTACATGTTATGCTGGACGATAAATTATAGCGATAAACGATAATATTGTTGTTTTGAGATAATTTTCAAGTAACATAATGCAATATGTTATATTATTATAACATATTAATGCAGTAAATTGTTCTTAAAGATCAATAAACTTTAAATTCAAATGAACATTTCACACTGGAACTGGAAAACAGTTAAAATATCCAAAATAAGTAAACTAAACAACAAATAAAATGAATTGTGAAGTCTCTATAAACTAAATTATCCTTCAAAGAAAATGGCTATTTGAGATTAAAACACCAGACTGAAGACTTTATCACCCAGTTTCTGGAAGAAAGAGAAAATTGTCAAATTATTTTAATTTATCATGTATTTTAATTTATCATGCAATCAATTGATTTATTACTTAATGCAACAAGTCTGATTATGGCTCTTGATTTTACCCTTAAAGGTGCAGCAATTTTTTTTATAAAAATGCAATTTTAAAATGCAGAGTGGCACCTAAGTGTGGCGTATTATTTTAACTATTTGAAAGCTAATAACAAACTTACAGTGAAGTTAGGAAGTTTCATAGATTAACCTATTATATGAGTACCAACTGTAAAAATAATATATAAATTGTTTTTCCATGTTTAATTAATGTTATTACTTGTTTTTTCCTGTCAGCTTTTTGCTGTTGGGGGCCCCTGGTGATGTGGGGGCCCCCTGGTGATGTGAAGGCCCTTAACTCTCATGCCTTCCTGAGGTCAGGGGTCAGAGTATCATGTTTAGCTCGTGTTAGCTGCTTCTTTCTCCACTCATGATGAGCTGAACATGCTTTGCAAATCAAATCATTTATATACCAGCTGCTCTGCATGTGAGTCAGGTTTTTCTGTCAACAACCCTGGAGGCTGCTGAGTCTGAGAGGGGTCAAGGTGAGATAAATGTGTGACTGACCTTTGAACCCTGCAGTCATGTTCTGAGCAACGGTTGGAGTCACAGACGGCTTGAGGACGGGATACGTCGGAGAGCTGAGCTGAAAAATCCCGTCTGACCTGCAGAGCAGCAAAATGCCTTCACATTCATGCAAAGTGAAAAAACTCAGCTATCATGTGAATCACATGGAAGAAACAAAACAAATATTCAGTGAAACCTGCACACAATACCAGCCGACGTTAGCAAACCAGCCAATCCAGACAGGACATTTCCTTGGTGCGCCAGAGCAGAGATAAGGCAGACCGTATATGTTAGCTTCTGACAGACTGTAGCTGCTAGCTTCTGACAGGCTGTAGACATTAGCTTCTGACAGGCTGTAGACGTTAGCTTCTGACAGGCTGTAGACGTTAGCTTCTGACAGGCTGTAGACGTTAGCTTCTGACAGGCTGTAGACGTTAGCTTCTGACACGCTGTAGCTGTTAGCTTCTGACAGGTTGTAGACGTTAGTTTATGACAGGCTGTAGATGTTAGCTTTTTGATAAAGCTAAGCTGGTTTCCACTATTTATTTATGCTTGTTCACATAAATTGTTGTTTGAACTCAAATATTTGAAGACTCTCACTTTTCCCTCCCTTGGATACCAGAAGTAACCTCACAAAACACGTCATCATGTTCTGTGTGGAGCTGCCTTCGGATCGTTGAGCAACATATTTGATGATGACTTTGCTTCATAATTGCTGACTGTATTATGTGTTTATATAGAGTAAAGCACAGACAAGGTTGAAACACTAAGAGCATATTTAATGATAAACCAGAAAACTCAAAAGGTTCTTGGCAGTCATTGGGATAATTTTCTAAATGAGATTATAAAACGTTTTAGTTATAAAATGCCAAAAACATGGCATTTCTGATGGAGGCAAAGAAATTGTTTTAATTGTTAGTTTGGTCTTTGTGTAAAACCTTTACTGCTCTCTTTACGGCGGTAAAGATGGCCGCCACAGCCATTTAGTTCCCCATCAGGGAAATGGACCAAATCTGATATTTTGGGGGGTAAAAATGTGGAATATGTGCAAAAATAGAAATCGTATTTGCATCGTGTCCAGTGGAGCTGAGAAACTGGATGAAATGAGAGAAGTGTCGGAAACAGAGCAGCAGTGACATCAGTCAACCAGACCTCAGCAGAGCTGAGCAAACATGCAGGAAACGATGCAAACGTGTTTCTGTCAGGTGAAATAAAACAGCAGAGCTGGTTTGTTCACTTCACACTGTGGTTTCCAGTTATGAATCTTAACACACGGATGCCATGAATGCAGATTTATCCTCCCAAAATTCACCAGTGAAGCTTTTATTTGTGCCTCAGTTCTTGTCTGTTTTTGTAAGTATGAATGCGTTGCTGGTGTTAATTCTGTAAATTCTGTTTGGACTCTTTGTGATTCAGTTGTTGGTTCCTTTTGCTCCCAGTTGTTGTGCGTTCCTCTGATTAACCTCTTTTTATAAAGAAAACTTCCTCAGTATTTAGGTTCTCTGATTTTTGTTCTCTGCTGGTTTATATGCAGTTGAATCAGAAAGCAGCAGGTTGGAAGTATTTTTAAATCGTTTAGTGGTGAACGGAAACATTTATTCTAACACATCTGATTTCTGAAGGAGGCTGTAAATCAAAAAGTTGCAGGTTGGTGTTGAATATTTTCTGTTCTGACAGGAACAGACGGGTTTTTCTGGGTTTTGTTTCAATCTAACGCAGAAAGTCAGAGAATCGCTGCTGATCCAGTGACTCCGATTCCCCCTCAGCTGTTCTGCATTCCTCTCATTTATCTCTCCTCGGATTAATTAAACCTGCTCAGGATTTAAGCTCCTGGTTTTCATTTCCCCTCTTCTTCAACTTTCTTCTTATTCTCTCATTAAGTCCTTCTTGTTCCTTCTGTTTGTTTTTGACTCTTGGATGTGAAACTGATGAATTTTCTCTGACTCAGTTCACCCACCTGATCATCCACACGGCAGCCGAGACGCAGAACACTGCCAGGACCAAACTGTAAACCCACTTCAGCTTCTCCAAAGTTGGAAGTTTGGGAATGGGAGTCATCGTCGGGAACGTCGGCGGGTCAGAACCGGGTCTTCGGATCTCGTCCCGGATGGATGAAGACAGCCAGCTGTCCTCTGAGGTCCTCGCCTGATGAGCAGATTTCTTTTCATCAGAAGGTCAGGAAGTCATCAGATTACATGACACACATGGCACACCTATGTCACCTGTTCCTCAGGTATGTAAGGCTCCGCCTCCGGCCCAGTTCTGGCATATCGCCTGCTGCGCCGTCTGATTTACATATCACATTTACAGAAACATGGACCGACAGAAATATTTCTACAGGATGAGAGAAATAAGAACCGACTGGTTTTACTATTGTTACCATCATTTTTTATTTTATTGTTTAACAGATTATGAAGAATTTATAGGCAATTATTCTGATGCTTCATTTGAACTATTTTTATTATTATTATGGGTGTTAGAAATACTATGTTATCACTCTTACATTAATAGTCACTGTGTGTGAATCAATGCTATGACCCACATTTACAGAATGTCTGCAGCATGATTATCTAATGTTCCTGTCAGAAATCGCTCTCTTGATGACAGAACCTCCTTATCTCTCCCTCCTGTGAATAAAAGACGAGTTTTATGAATAAAATTACAAGTTTCTGATAATTATTGAGTTGGTAAGTAATATATTTCATAAAACTGAGATAAAGGGAAAGACTAAGTATTCCTTTTCAAACAGAAACGTTTTGGTAAGATAATTATTTTGTTCTATATGACATCATGAGTTTACAATATTTAACTTATTAATAATATTCAGGTTTGGATTTTTGTCACATGTTATAATCATCGTTGGAATATTTCACTCTGATGAATTTCAGAGATTTATTCTCTGAAATGAGTGACAGAAAACTGAACTTTTAATTTTTTAAGACATTTATTTTGGAGCCATTTCTTTACACCTGTAAGACAAATGAAATAAAACCTGCTGGTGACTCAAAGTTACATTTCAACATGACAGAAGAAGAGCTACAGCAAAACGCAGAAGGAATAAAATGTCCAGAACTCCAGAAGTGACTGGGCGTTTCCTGTCAGACAGGAAGGACCTGAAGCTGCTGAGTCAGCGCTGCCAGGTCTGAAAGAAAGATGAAATTGATTAAAGTTCTTTAAAAGTTTCAGCATTCGTAGAGCAAAGAGAGTCAGGAATAAAAACAGTCAAAGTTTATTTTGCACACAGATGAACAGGTTAAAAAGAGAAAAAGTTGGAATGTCAGATTAACAGGAAGATTGTTTAATTTCTCCAGATAAATGTGATAAAACCAAGGAGCGGTTTGTTAGCATGATTGGCCATTTTGTCTCGTTTCTAGATGTTTTTATTTAAAACTTTGACTGTTTAAAAGAAACAACCTGATGTCCAAACTTTCCCTCATCTGGCAGCGAGACCAAACAGACTGGAAATGATTCCCAACTGAAGCCCGTGTTGGCGTTGAGTTTCCGGACACGAAGGAGTTAATAAACCCCGCAGGGTTCATCAACAAAGATCCTCTCTGGAACAGATGCAACACTCACACAGAAACACAATCGGAATCACGACAAAGACATAAAATACACTGCAAAAACTCACAATCTTACAAAGTATTTTGTCTAGTTTTCAGTGAAACTATCTTAGTTCACTTTAAATAAGACAAAACTAACTTACAAGTAACTTTTCAGCAAATATATGAGCTTGTTTTAAGTCAATAATTCCTTAATATTGATTAAAAACTACCAGTTTTACTGGCAGATTATTTCACTAATAATATGAGAAAAAAATGTTGTTATAAGTGAAATAATTTTCCAGTGGAAATAGTAGTTTTTAATCAATATTAAGGAATTATTGACTTAAAACTGAAGTTGTATGTTAGTTTTCAGAATTATATTTGCACTAGAAGCTAAAACAAAAACACTTTAGATTTTGTGTTTTCAGATCCTGTGAAGGAGGGAAAATGTAAACAAAGAACTCATCTGTAAAATACTTTTTGCATTTTGTTTAATTTTCCAGTTGATTTGACACATAAACACTGACTCACTCATTAGTTTCCACAGTTTGTAAACTCGGTGCCTTTGTTTTACTAAAGACAAATGATTTCTACATTTATCACAAGAAATATGACTGAATGGACGACTTATTTGCTTAAGATGTTAGTTAATTGTTGATCACATCAACAAGAGTTGTAGTTTTTAAACAAAAAAAATAAATACATTTTGTGGCAAAGTTTCTTTCAGCATCTTTAGAATAATAAAATAACAGATGAGTAAAAAAACCCACAACATAAAACCTTTGAAACTAATAATTACAATAAATAATTCATACATGTTAGTGCAGAGCAAAGTATTTCCAATGTCAATATATTCTATTTACTGTGTGTTTATTGACCGACCAAGCAGACATGTGTTTTTGGTTAAAACGGTTTGTTTTGTTTTTTTCAGGAACAGTAACTTGGTTTCTTTCAGTGTTTAATTCAGTGAAGCAGCTGATTGGAGCAGAGCAGACACAAGTCTTACTTAAAAGTAAAAAGTACCGGAGAGTAAAACTACTCTTGGACGAACACACGTCCCAAAAGTTACTCAGGTAACGTAAGTAATTAACTCACCTGTAAGCCCAGATCCCGGATCTGAAGTCAGGAGCAACGGCGCCCCCTGGCGGCCCGGATCTGCGTTGCAGCATCTCTGATGGTCGATGAAAATCCTTCAGCATCCTGACGCGCCGCGTCCCTCATGTAGGCACGATGTGGAAAATGAGTAGATTCTGCCAAAAAACAGAAATCTCAGATTAATCTCAGGAATTTCCTAGAAAAAATTTTTCACAGTTTTTAAAAATATTGACTTTTGGAAATGTTTTGAATTTCACAAGTCAACATTTTTGACTTGTGAAACTGAAACAGAATTTTTTTTAGATTAATCTAAAAATGTCTGACTTTTTTCTGGTAAATGCTAAACTTATTAAACTCAGAAATGTTCAAGTTTTTTTTTTCCTGAAAAAGCAGAAATGTTCTCCTTTTCTCAGTGGCCCTGATTTGTCTTTTTCAGAAATTGGATTTTTTTATTTTCTTGGGGGTTTTTTTGTTGTATTTTGAATTTGTATTATATAATTTTGTATTATAACTAACTTCCTGTTTGAGCAGAGATGCTTTTGTTTTGAAGGGACTATTTCTTGTTTAACTGTTGGTGCAAAGGCAGCTTAACAACCATTAAAAGACAAGATAAATTATAACAGAGTGTAAAAACTGCAGCTCCTGGACACAGACTGAAGGGAAGCTTATGATGTAAATAAGTTCTTGTTTTAAATATTGTGTGATTTAAGCTGTGTGATTTGTGTGAACGTGAGTCATTTTATTCTGAAGTATTTTTACTTTTACTTCAGTAAAATTCCTGGATTTTCTTCCCACTGAGTGAAAAACAAAAACTCACCAGAAACACCTGCAGATTTTCATCCTTAAATTATAATAATTTCCACTTACCTTTATTCTTCTGTCTGTGTGATGATGTAATTTTAAATATTAAATGATCATTTGACCAGTTAGTCAGTATTTTTTGAGTGATTTCTTGCCACTTTTTACCTGAGTGAAACATGTTGAAGTGTTGCTGCTCTTACAGTTTTTGGTTAAGACGATAAACATGTCGAGGGCGGAGCATCAGCGGTAAAAATCCATGACCTCATCTGTGCCTCCGCTTTGTTTCTGCGACGCTCCACCTGGAGCTGCAGCTCCTTAACCTGCTGCCTCATCAGGAGCTGCTGCTGGTTTGTCCACAATGGAAAAGGGAGGAAATGGAAACGGAGCGGACCAGGAGGAGCCAGAGAGCGGTCCAGACCAGGAGAAAGGAGGCCTTCTGTCTCTGCTTCAAAGTGAAAACTCAGAGACGGCGCCTGCCCCCATGGACAGCAACGTCTTACTGTCAAGGTAGGTGTTGAACCGGCTAATAGCAGCTCACCTGCAGCAGGGAGACGCCAGGTAAGGTGATGGTGTCATGTTTCATGTAAACAGCTCAGTGAACGTCCTCTTTGTTCGTTTCCTCTGACCTGCAGCCTCTTCACTAACAACAGTTTCAACCAGCCAGTTAAGTTTACTGATGAAGCGCAGACACCAGTGATCATCAATGATCATCAATAATCATCAAATATGTTGGTCAAACTTTCATTTATTACGATTCTAAAGCATCTCTGGGTATTTAGGTCAGATCTAAAGGAAATCTGTGTTTCGGATGTTTGTTCAGTTTTCTGGAAGTTTGTTCCAGATTTGTGTTGCATAGATGCTGAAAGCTGCTTGGTTCTGATTCTGTTGATGCAGAGGAGACCAGAACCTGAAGACCTTTACATAGTTCAGTGATCTTAAAGTTTATTCTCCCAGTGTAACGACTTCAGAACGGGCTGATGCTCCGTCCTCCTGGTTTTAGTCAGAACGCAGCAGCTGCTGCAGCAGCATTCTGGATCAGATTCATTTAGACCTGTGAAGAAACTGCAGCTGTAATTAATGCTACTAAAGAAAAACGCATCAGCAGGGCAGGTAGAAACTCCAACAATTATGCTAAAGTAACAGTAGCACTAATTCAACATGTTTTTACTCAAGTAAAAGGAAAAAGTACCAAGAAATTACCCAACTAGGAGTAAGTCACTGCTTAGTTTATATTACTTTTAACCCAGAAAAGGAATTAGATCAGTTACTCTTTAGCTTATTTTATCAGAAACTGTAACATGCTCATTATTTAGAAATTGAATTAGATACTTAGCATCCCTGAACAGGAGCACTTAGCTTACATACTTTAGAACATTAAATTAGTTTTCTTTCCTCTTTTTTTTCCCTTTGGTTTGTTATTTTGTTTGTGTTTCCTTTTAACTCATGTAAAGCACTTTGAACTGCCTTGTTGCTGAAAATGTGCTATATAAATAAAATTACCTTATCTCACCTTTTCTGAGACGTTATAAATGTTCTCCAGGTGATGGAAGGCCGGGTTTGTAACCATCTCTATGTGGCTCTGGAGGTTCAGGTCAGAGGTCAGCCTGATGTCCAGGTTCCAACTGGAATAACTGAAGCTGTAGATTTATAACTCTAGATCGCTCCTCTTTATGTCCAAAGATAAAAACTTCAGTTTTGTTTCTGTTCAGCAGGAGAAAGTTAAATCTGTTCTAATGATCTGTTCAGTGATTGGATGGTTCAAAGGTCACCTGGTGACATCATAAGGTCGAGCGGTGACTCTTCCTGTGATGAATTATTGTTTGATCGTCTGTCAGACCGCCGCGTCGCCCCGCCGGTGGCAGCACGCCGTTCACCAGGGAGAAGCTCTTCACGGCGGCGTCTCAGGGCGACGGCGCCCAGCTTCACGGCCTGCTGGACTTCCTGCAGCTTCACCGGAAACGGCTGACGAGCCCAGAGTTCAAAGGTCAGGGACATGATCACCGCTTCATCAACCCTACAAAACAATGTAGGAGCTGCTTTAGGTCAATAACTACTTAATATTGATTTTTAAAAAGTTCTTTATTTCACTTTTAACATGGAAAAAATTTGTTTTTATGAGTCAAACAGCTGTTGACTCATAACAGACACAGTTTTATCTTATTTCACGTGAACTAAGACATTTGACTGGAGCCTAAACTAAAGTTACTTGGTATGATTTTGTGTTTTTTCAGAGTAAAAGCTGCAGCATTGCTCTGTTCTGATTCGGGATAAAACCAGAAGGTTTTTCTGTTAAAAATCCTCCACTGACTCCGGCTCAATGCAGGACCGTAGTTATGATGTCTGAGTTATTTCATTTGTTTCATTATTATTTCAGATGAATCGAATGGGAAAACGGTGCTGCTGAAAGCTTTTCTGAACCTGAAAGACGGCAGGAACGACACGATCGAAGTCCTGATGGACATAGCAGAGAAAACTCTGGACTCTGAAAGCTTCATCAACGCCGCGTACACAGATCCTTCTTACAAAGGTAAGAAAACAAACCTTATAAATGCCAACAGTTTGGTGACTTTCTGTTAAATATAAAGGATTCGTTTCCCTTTAAAACCCACGCAGGTCAGACGGCCTTGCATGTGGCCATTGAAAGACGATCGCTGCACTACGTGAAGCTGCTGGTCCAGAAAGGAGCTGATGTCCAGGCCAAAGCCAGCGGGACATTTTTCCAGAGGAACACAAAGCTGGGCTTTTATTTTGGTGGGTGATTTCCTCCAAGAGGGATAAAGATGCTTCAGGGCCGTAAACTTTCACCAAACAACTCAGACATTTTGAGATTAATCTCAAGACATTTTCTTGAAAAAAAAAAGAACTTTTTGAAATTTATGAGTCTCAAAATTTGAGCTTTTCAGAATTATGAAGCTCATAAATATGCAAGTTTTTTTCTACAAAATTTCTGAGATTATTCTCAAAGTCTCTGAGTTTTTGATAGAAAATTTCCAACTTTTCAAACTTAATTTTTTTTGTTTTCTGTCTAGAAAAATTCTGAGATTAATTCAAAATTTTGGGTGGAGTTTAGCAATTTTTTTTTGACTTTTCAAATTCAAAATTTTCCATGTTTGTTTTTCCTGTGAGATTTCTGAGATTAATTCAATTGTTTTTCTCAGCAAATTTTATGATTTTTCAAACTGAAATGTAAGTAGTTTTCTAGAAAAAGTCTGAGATCAATCTAAACATTTCTGAGGTTTTGTGTGTGTGGAAATGAACTCCTTTTTCCTGGTCCTAACGCTCCGTTGTGAAAGTCCCGTCCTGCGTTGTACCGGTGGGATCAGAGTTTGTTCTGCCCAGGCGAGCTGCCGCTGTCTCTGGCCGCCTGCACCAACCAGCCAGAGGTGGTTTCGTTTCTCCTGGAGAACCCGCACCGCAGAGCCGACCCGACCGACCGCGACTCGCAGGGAAACACCGTGCTGCACATGCTGGTGGAGATCGCAGA